AGTACATGCAAACTATATTCACACAAGGGAGGTTGAAAAAGGATTTTAAATATTAATTATTTTTTTTTAATTGGCCTCATAATATACATATTATTGTACAACAGGCATTTTTTTACTTAATACATTTGGCTCTCTTTCCAGAGCTAGCATATTATGGATTTACCTTTTTTCTTTTCAGTACCTATACACTGTTCCATACTATGGATATACTGTAATTTAACCATTTTGCTAGCCCTGGACATTTCAGTTGACTGTAGTTTCTTGCTGTTGAAAATAATACTCAGTGGATGTCCTTATTACTTTTGTAGAGTCAAATCATAGTCAGGGTTTGGTTCTAAAGTTATCACATGAGATTAATATCATGTGTAGTTCAGATATACCGCCTTCAAATAAATCCAGTGTGGTCAATTTTTCCTCCAACATTGGATCAAATTGTTATTTCTTCAGCTGAGCACCAGATAAAGTTTTAGTGCGTTCTGGGGATATATTGTACAAAAATATGTGTCTCTTCAAACAATAAAACTACATTCCTTGTTGTGAGATTCACATACAGTCAGAGCCGATATGAATGTAGTACAAGGGAACAAGATTCCTTTCTCTGGTTTATTGCACTGTGAACCAATCCTTTATTGAATGTAATGGTAGGTGAGATTGGGCTTCACTATTTTCCTTTTTTTTTTTGTTTGCCAAGGGCATAAAGTTTGTGTATATATGATATAACTCCCTTATTTTTAGCACACTTGTCATGAATTTCTGTACTTATGTATGGATTGTTCAAAATGAGATTTAAAAGTCAAAGGGATTGCAGCTAAGTTTTTAAATTGTGTAGTTATTCTCCAATAATGTTATGCCAGCCTATACTTCTTCCAGTAGTAGATGTGGCTTCTATTTCCTGTGTAAAGTAGATCATCTGCTAAGGATAAGGAGGCAGGTAGCAGAAGGACTGTTTAGCATGATTCAGGGTTCCAATGAATTAAGAATCCACATATTTATAGTGATATTAGTTGTGACGTTTTTCTCTACCAGTGCTTAGCAGAGCCCAGGTGTGGATACAGAGAAGGTGAGTAGTTAGATTCACACAGGATAGGGGCTTTGGCATAATACTGCTCGAAGTGATAATTGCAGAATCTTAGCAGATTGGAGAAGAAAGTTAGGTCTAGAAGGGGCTGGTAGAGAGTTGAGGACCCTCAGAGGTTGATGAAATCACAGAATAAGTATAATGGAAGTAATTGAGTGAGAAACCTGGAAGGCAAATAAAATCAAAGTGACACTGTGTTTTACATCAACCTGTTATTTTTACTTGAAGAATGGGCAGCCCTTCTAAAAATGTATAGCAACAAACTGTTTTGCTACAGTCTGCAAACATATTAAAAATGTATGGAACAAACTAATTTATGAGAATGACGTTAGTTCTTTTCACTGAAAGTGGAAGATGTAAACCCAAAGATAATTCATTTCATTTTAATTTACTTTTTTAGTTGTAGGATGCAGTAATTGCTACAGATATACAATAAACAGCATTTAAAAAACCCAAGTATTACAGATTAAGTAGACATTGTTTTCTGTGCCCTTTTGGGAAGAATAGTACAAAGAACATTTTTTTCCTCAATCATTTGAGAGTAAATTGCTGACAAGATTTCCCATAAGCTCCAGTGTTTTAGTGTGTATTTCATATGTTTGAGTATATCTAATCTTCAGACTCAAATCGTTTAAGTTTTCCAGTTGTTTTAATAACATCCTTTATAGCAAAACATGCTAAGTATTTTAAGACTAAGTAAATATCCTATTCCTAATCAGACATTTTTTTGTAAGTTAATTTTTATTGAGTTTATGATAGTTTACTATCTTGTGAAATTTCAGTTGTACATTATTGTCAGTCGTATCGTAGGTGCACCCCTTCACCCTTCGTGCCCACCCTTGACCCCCGCTTTCCGCTGGTAGCCACTAATCTGTTCTCTTTGTCTACACATTTAACTCCCTCATATGAGTGGAGTCATACAGAGATTGTCTTCCTCTATCTGACTTATTTCACTTAACATAATTCCCTCAAGGTCCATCCATGTTGTTGTGAATGGGACAATTTTATTCTTTTTTATGGCTGAATAGTATTCCATTGTATATATATATACCATATCTTCTTTATCCAGTCATCAGTTGATGGGCACTTAAGTTGCTTCCATGTCTTGGCTATTGTAAATAATGCTGCAATGAACATAGGGGTCCATGGGACTTTTGGAGTTGCTCACTTCAAGTTCTTTGGATAGATACCCAGTAGTGGGATGGCTGGGTCATATGGTATTTCTATTTTTAATTTTTTGAGAAATCTCCATACTGTTTTCCATAATAGCTGCACCAGTTTACATTCCCACCAGTAGTGTCTGAGGGTTCCTTTTTCTCCACAACCTCTCCAACATTTGTTACTTTTTGTTTTGGTTATTTTTGCCATTCTAATGGGTGTAAGGTGATATCTTAGTGTAGTTTTGATTTGCATTTCCCTGATGATCAGCGATGATGAGCATCTTTTCATGTGCCTATTGGCCATCCGTATATCTTCTTTGGAGAAATGTCTGTTCATGTCTCCTGCCCATTTTTTGATCAGGTTGTTTGATTTTTTGTTGTTGAGTTGTGTGAGTTCTTTATATATTATGGAGATTAAGCCTTTGTCGGATATATGACTTGCAAATATTTTTTCCCAATTTGTGGGTTATTTTTTTGTTTCAATCCTGTTTTCCCTTGCCTTGAAGAAGTTCTTTAGTCTGATGAAGTCCAATTTGTTTATTCTTTCTATTGTTTCCCTTCTCTGAGAAGACATGGTGTCCGAAAAGATCCTTTTATACTGATGTCAAAGAGTGTACTGCCTATATATTCTTCTAGAAGCCTTATGGTTTCAGGTCTTACCCTTAGGTCTTTGACCCATTTTGAGTTTATTTTTGTGAATGGTGAAAAAGACTGGTCAATTTTCATTCTTTTACATGCGGCTTTCCAGTTTTCTCAGCACCATTTGTTGAAAAGACTTTCTTTTCTCCATTGTAGGCCCTAAGCTCCTTTGTCAAAGATTAGCTGTCCATAGATGTGTGGTTATATTTCTGGGCTTTCAATTCTGTTCCATTGATGTGTGCACCTGTTTTTGTACCAGTACCATGCTGGGTTTTTTTTCCCATTTTTTTTTTTATTGAGTTATTGATAGGTTACAATCTTGTGAAATTTCAGTTGTACATTAATGTTTGTCAGTCATGTTGTAGGTGCACCACTTAACCCTTTGTGCCCACCCCCCACCCCACCTTTCCCCTGGTATCCACTAAACTGTTCTTGGTCCATAGTTTTAAATTCCTCATATGAGTGGAGTCATACACAGATTATCTTTCTCTTGCTGGCTTATTTCACTTAACATAATTCTCTCAAGGTCCATCCATGTTATTGCAAATGGAATGATTTTGTTCTGTTTTGCAGCTGAGTAGTATTCCATTGTATATATGTACCACATCTTCTTTATCCATTCGTCTGTTGATGGGCACTTAGGTTGCTTCCACGTCTTGGCTATTGTAAACAGTGCTGCAATAAATATTGGGGTGCACAGGAATTTTGGGATTGCTGACTTCAGGCTCTTTGGATAAATACCCAGTAGTGGGATGGCTGGATCGTATGGTAGTTCTATTTTTAGTTTTTTGAGGAATCTCCATACTGTTTTGCATAGTGGCTGCACCAGTTTGCATTCCCACCAGCAGTGTATGAGGGTTCCTTTTTCTCCACAACCTCTCCAACATTTGTTGCTATTAGTTTTAGATATTTTTGTCATTCTAACGGGTGTAAGGTGATATCTTAGTGTAGTTTTGATTTGCATTTCCCTGATGATCAGCGATGATGAGCATCTTTTCATGTGCCTATTGGCCATCAGTATATCTTCTTTGGAGAAATGTCTGTTCATGTCTCCAGCCCATTTTTTGATTGGGTTGTTTTGTGATTGAGTTGTGAGAGTTCTTTATATATTAAGGATATTAAGCCTTTGTCAGATTTATGACTTGCAAATATTTTTTCCCAGTTAGTGGGTTGTTTTTTTGTTTCAATCCTGTTTTCATTTGCCTTGAAGAAGCTCTTTAATCTGATGAAGTCCCATTTGTTTATTCTTTCTATTGCTTCCCTTCTCTGAGAAGGCATGATGTCCGAAAAGATCCTTTTGATACTGATGTCAAAGAGTGTACTGCCTACGTTTTCTTCCAGAAGCCTTATGGTTTCAGGTCTCACCTTTAGGTCTTTAATCCATTTTGAGTTTATTTTGGTGAATGGTGAAAAAGAATGGTCAATTTTCATTCTTTTACATGTGGCTTTCCAGTTTTCCCAGCACCATGTGTTGAAAAGACTTTCTTTTCTCTATTGTATGCCCTCAGCTCCTTTGTCCAAGATAAGCTGTCCATAGATGTGTGGTTTTATTTCTGGGCTTTCAATTTTGTTCCATTGATCTGTGCACCTGTTTTTGTACCAGTACCATGCTGTTTTGATTACTGTAGCCTTGTAGTATGTTTTGAAGTCAGGGATTGTGATGCCTCCAGCTTTGTTCTTTTTTCTCAGGATTGCTAGACTTTTTTTTTTTTTTTAATTTTATTTTTTTCCTTTTTCTCTCCAAAGCCCCCTGGCACATAGTTTTGTATTTTTAATTGTGGGTCCTTCCAGTTGTGGCATGTGGGATGCCGCATCCGCGTGGCCTGATGAGGGGTGCCATGTCCGCACCCAGGATTCGAACTGGCGAAACCCTGGGCCGCTGAAGCGGAGCGTGCAAACTTAAACACTCGGCCACAGGGCTGGCTCCACCTAATCAGACTTTTAATTTACTCAATTATATCTGTGTAAATTCCTGGTTTCCTCTTTGGGACACTGAGGAGTCTTGACACGTCCTCAGTTACTGGGAACCACTGAGAACAAAGAAGGCAACTTAGGCAATCACAAAGATTTGAGAGACAACTAAAAACTAGGGCTTACTGAACAGTAAGTTTCATTTCCTACAGGAGATTACTCCATCAAGATTGGGAGATGTCGCTGTTTTGTCTAATGCATAGAAACCATCACAGAGAGTCAAGGAAACTGAAGAAACAAGAATATTTTTCAAACAAAAGAACAAGATAAGACTCCAGAAACAGACCTTAATGAAATAGAGATAAGTGGTTTACCTGATAAAGAATTCAAAATAATGGTCCTGAAGATGTTCACTGAGGTCAGGAGTCCTTTAGAATTGAAGGAAAGAGAAACAGTTTTCCATACAAGCAAAAACTGAAGGAGTTCTTCACCACTAGACCAGCCTTACAAGTATTAAAGGGTCTCTTCAAGCTGAAACTAAAGGATGCTAATTAGTAGTAGGAAAATATATGAAAGTATGAATCTCACTGGTAATGGTAAATACATAGTTAAATTCAGAATACTCTTAATGTTGTAATGGTGTTGGGTAAATCACTTATATATCTAGTATGAAGGTTAAAAAAGAAACAGTAAAAATAACTATAACTACAATAATTTGTTAGTGGTTACACAAAGTAAAAAGATGTAAATCGTGGCATCAAAAACATAAAATGTGGAGCGGCAAGAGTAAAATTATAGAGCTTTAGTTTACACGTTTTTTTCTTTCCTTCTTCTCCCCAAAGCCTCCCAGTACATAGTTGTATATTTTAGTTGTGTGTCCTCCTAGTTGTGGCATGTGGGACGCCACCCCAACATGGCTTGATGAGCGGTGCTAGGTCTCTGCCCAGGATCTAAACCAGTGAAACCCTGGGTTGCGGAAGCAGAGTACACAAAGTTAACCACTCAGCCGTGGGGACGGCCCCTTTAGTTTGCATTTTAACTTAAGTTGTTATCAGCTTAAAATAGACTTATAAATATAAGATGTTTTTACATAAGCTTCCTTTCAACCACAAAGCTAAAACCTATAATAGATACACAAAAGATAAAGGAATCTAAGCATACACTAAAGAAAATCATGAAATCATAAAAGAAGAGACAAAGAGAACAAGAAAGGAACAAAGGAATTACAGAACACCCAGAAAACAAAAAAATAGTAATAGTCCATACATATCAATAATTAGTTTAAATATAAATGAACTAAATTCTCCAATCAAAAGACAGAGTGCCTTAATGCATAAAAAGACAAGACACAATTATATGCTGCCTACAAAAGACGCTTCTGCCTACAAGAGACACACACACACTGAAAGAGAAGAGATAGAAAACGATATTCTATGCAAATGGAAACCAAAAGAAAGCACTGGTAGCTGTATTTATATCAGACAAAGCAGACTTAAGACAAAGATTATAATAAGAGACAACATTGTTATATAATGTGAATCTAACAAGAGGATATAGCTTTTGTAAACACAAAACAACATAGGAGCACCTAAATAGATAAAGTAAATATTAACAGACCTGAAAGGAGAAATAAATAGCAGCACAATAAGAGTAGGGGACTTCAGTACCTCACTTTGAATACTGGATAGATCACCCAAACAGAATATCATTAAGGAAGCATTGGACTTAAAGTACACATTACACCAGATGGACTTAACGGACATTTAAACAACATTCCACACAACAGCAGCAGAATACACATTCTTTTAACTGCACATGGAACATTCTTCAGGATAGATCATATGTTAGGCCTCAAAACAAGTGTTGATAAATTTAAGAAGATTGAGATTGTATCAAGCATTTTTTCCAACCACAATGATATGAAACTAGAAGTCAATTACAAGAAGAAAACTGGAAAATTCATAAATATGTGGAAATTAAACAAACATGCTACTAAACAACCAAGGGGTCAAAGAAGACACCAAAAGAGAAATCAGCGTAGTATTGAAAGTCCTAGCCAGAGCAGTTAGGCAAGAAAAAGAAATAAAAAGCATCCAAATTGGAAAGGAAGAAGTAAAAGTGTCACTATTTGCAGATGACATGATATTATATGTGGAAAACCATAAAGACTCCCCAAAAACTGTTAGAACTAATCAACAAATTCGGTAAAGTTTTAGGATACAAAATCAATATACAAATCTCTTGCATTTCTTTACACTAATAACAAACCATCAGAAAGAGAAATTTTTATAAATTCCCATTTACAATTGCATCAAAAGGAATAAAATAGCTAGAAATAAATTTTATCAAGGAGATGAAAGATCTGTATACTGGAAACTATAAGACATTGATGAGAGAAATTGAGTAAGACACAAATAAATGGAAAGATATCCTGTGCTCATGGATTAGAATATTGTTAAAATGTCCATACCACCCAAAGTGATCTACAGATTCAGTGTCATCCCTATCAAAATTTCAATGGCATTTTTTCACAGAAATGGGAAAAACAATCCTAAACTTTATATGAAACCACAAAAGACCCCGAATAGCCAAAGCAATCTTGAGAAAGAACAAAGCCCAAGACTTCACACTTCCTGGCTTCAAACTATAATACAAAGTTATGGTAATCAAAACAGTATGGTATTGGCATAAGAACGGGCACATAGATGAATGGATTAGAATAGAGATCCCAGAAATGAACCCATGCATTTATGGCCAATTAATTTACAACAGAGGAGTCAAGAATATACTGTTGAAAAACAAAATTCAGCTGAGTAAATTTGAAAATCTAATTGGCTTTATTAAACAATTCATGAATTGGGGAGCATCTCATCTGGCAAGTACAGAGATACTCTGAAATGTTACACAACATGGAAGATTTTTATACTAAGGAGGATGGGACAAGGAAAGGAAGTCTGAGGGGAAAAATGAAAGTTCATTGGAGGAAAGTAAAAGTTCAGGTAACAATGGCTTCTGATTGGCTGAGCTGTGGCATCTTCCATTGGCTGGGCTTGTTGCTGGACAAGAAGGAAGTCTTCGTTTCTCCTGCTGTAGTAGTAAAGTAGTTGTAGTTCCTGTTTGGGAGTGCAAGGTAGTTCTCTTCCTGTTGGGGCTTGTAACTGACGGCTTCCCATTTGGGAATCCCAATTTTGTAATTGATGAAGAGTGGTAGGGTGTGATAGCTCCCCTACAGGCCTTCCTGACTCCAATTTTAGTTGAAGTTTCCTTGATTAATTTTAATAATACAATGGAGAAAGGATAGTGTCTTCAATAAATGGTGATGGGAAATCTAGACTCCTGTCTCACACCATACACAAAAACCAACTCAAAATGGCTGCAGACTTCAATGTAAGTACCTGAAACCATAAAACTCCCAGAAGAAAACATATAAGGTAAGCACCTTGACATTGGTCTTAGCAATGACTTTTTGAATGTGACATCCAAAGCAAAGGCAACGAAAGCAAAAATAAACAAGTGAACTACGTCAAACTAAAAAGCTTCTGCATAGCAAATAAGAACTATCAATAAATGAGAAGGCAGCCTACAGAATGAGAGAAAATACTTGCATATTATATATCTCCACAGGAGTTAATGTCTCAAATATATAAATAAGTCATACGATTCAATAGGAAAAAAACAATCCGATTAAAAAATGGACAGAGGAACTGAATAGACGTTTACAAAGAAGACGTACAAATGGCCACAAGTACATGAAAAGATGTTCAACTTCACTAATCATCAGGAAAATGTAAGTCAAAACCACAATGTGGTATTACTTCACACCTATTAGAATGGCTGTCATCAAAAGGACAAGAGATAAGAGTTGGTAAGGATGTGGAGAAAAGGGAACTCTTATGCACTGTTGGTGGGAATGTAAATTGGTGCAGCCACTATGGAAAACAGTATGGAAGTGCCTCAAAAAATTAAAAATAGAACTGTGATATGATCCAACAATCCCACTTCTGAGTATATATCAAAAGGAAAGGAAATCACTGTCTCAGAGATATCTGCACCCCCATGTTCTTTGCAGCATTATTTACGAAGCCAAGACATGGAAACAACCTAGGTGCCCATCAAGGGATAAATGAATAAACAAGGTGTGTTATGTATGTGTATATGTACACACAATCATACACGTTAGAATATTATGCATCCATAAAAATGAAGGAAATCCTGCCATTTGTGACAATATGGATGGAACTTGAGGGCCTTATGCTAAGTGAAATAAGTTGGACTGAGACAGACAAATAGTGTATGAGCAATCTCACCTATATGTGGAATCTAAAAAATGAACTCACAGAAACAGAGCACAGATTGGTGTTGCCCAAGGCAGGAGTGGGGAAGGGGAGTGAGAAATGGGTGAAGGTGGTTAAAAGGTACAAACGTGTAGTTAGAAGATAAACAAGTCCTGGGGATATAATGTACAGTATGGTGACTATAGTTAACAATACTGTATCATATATTTGAAAGTTGCTAACAGAGTAGACCTTAAAAATTCTTATTACAAGAAAAAAATTGTAACTATGTATGGTGATGGATGTTAACTAAATTTATTCTGGTAATCTTTTCGCAGTATATACCAATGTCTAATCATTATATGGTACACCTTAATACAATATTATGTCAATTATATATCAATAAAACTGGAAAAAATAATTGTCAGATGGGAATAGACTGAGCAGTGAGGAATGGAGTAGTAAAAATGGAGACATTAATAATTGGAATTTTTGGAAAAGAGAAACGGTAATAGTACCAGAATCTGTAAACATTGTTTTTCCTTTTAATAATACTCCCATAATGTATTTTGGCTAAAATAAATCAATTTTGATCATTTGTTAGGTTAATTAAAGTGAGGTTCTTATTTTGTCCCCCTTTTTTTTTTTAAAGCTAAAATGAATTTATGGGCCTTTTATTTGTACTTAAATTGTCCCATAATTTTTTTATTGTCCTATAATTTTTGTTAGTTTTTTAGCACACACAAACACAAGCATGTGCAGATATTTTTACTGAATGTTTACTGAATACCGTCTTCGGCTGTGATACTGCTTTTGAAATTTATCCTATCTTCTAAACATTGAGTTAGGCTTTTTTTTTTTCCCCCTAAGATTGGCACCTGGGCTAACAACTGTTGCCAATCTTTTTTTTTTTTTTTTTCCTGCTTTATTTCCCCAACCCCGACCCCTGTACACAGTTGTATATCTTAGCTGCAGGTCCTTCTAGTTGTGGGATATGGGAGGCCGCCTCAACGTGGCGTGATGAGTGGTACCATGTCCGCACCCAGGATCCGAACCCTGGGCCACTGCAGCCGAGCGCGCAAACTTAACCACTCGGCCACGGAGCCGGCCCCGAGTTAGGCTTTGATCTCATTCTTCAGGGAGCTTACAGTGGGAATTTCAGATATTGTTGCAGCCACTGTTGGGAACTCAATGTAAGGGGAATTGTGCTGGAAGCTCTGGGAGGAATTTTCATCCTCACCAAAAAAGATGAATGACGAGAAAGTCTTTTGCTATTGCCCTCTTATTTCTATTCTGGACGCTGCTGTGGGAAGTGATACCCAAAGCTGAAACTTGTGACCAAGAGACTGGAAGCATTAGGATCAAAGCCAACATGTGGCAGATGAAGGAATAGTAGAAGAAAGAGTGTGGTGACTTTGGAGATTCTTTAAAGTTATATACTTACCAGGTGATCCAGCAGTCCTACACCTACAAACAGTTTCATCATAAGTTATATCAGAAGAGAGAGATTTGGAAGCCTGGCAGTCTCTTGTCTTGACTATCAACAAAGGCTGAGCATGTTTTGATTTTAAAATTTAATTATTTATATGCCTCATTTTTGACAGTTCAAATATCTGAGAATCTGAATTAACAAACCATAAATCAGTGATTTATTTTCACTTGACAGATTCACAGCTATAATTCTATAAGTATTTGCTTTGATGGTTTCATAATATGACAATTTTTTTTAGACTTTATGCAGCTTCTCAAAGTACTGTTACATAAAGCAGTAAATTCACTTTAGTCATTTCATTCATGATAAAAGACCCTAACTGTCTTTCCCACAAAGCATTCATTGCTGCCTTACAGAGAGTGACTTTGGGCCAGGGAAGCTCTTAATTTTGACCTGTTTCTTTTGTATGTTGGCTCAGGGTGGTAGTTACTAGAAACATAAATTTCTCCCCTTTCAGTGTGATGAAATGCTGTAAGATGTCTTCTAGAGTGGTCTATGAAGGAAAACTTGCTACTGACCACTGCACAAGATAGCCACAGTCTGCAACTCTGACGTAAACCAGGCAGATTTGGCATCAGTTTTCCACCCACAGTTGGATGAGTTGGATTTGTTGATTTTACCATTTGCAGTAATTCTTTAATATGCTAGAGAGCTCTTATAATTTCACAGTCAAGAAATCTGTGTGTATAAATCTCTTTTGATTCAGTAACTTAGGTGGGGCTTTGTTGATAAAAGTGATGCCTTCTGGGCAAGGTAAAACTGGTTCCTGCAATAAATTATAACTTTTGATTACCAAGGATATGTGGAATACCATACTTTTAAAATTATCTTATCTCTCCTCTAATTCAGGTATGCTTAAATTGATAGAAACTACTAGAATTAGGCTTTTTGAGGAACTTGCTAATATGACTCTAAAAATCCAAATGCTTATGCATCATCATATTAACATGCTTAATAACTAAGTTGCAAGCACCTGCCAAATAGTTTACTCACCAGAAAAATAAACATCTACTTACTGCATTTATATAATGTCTCTCCTTTTTTTTTTTTTTTTTTTGGTGAGGAAGATTGGCCCTGAGCTAATATCTGTGCCAATCTTCCTCTATTTTATATGTGGGACACTGCCTCAGCATGGCATGATGAGCAGTGTGTAAGTCTGCACCTGGGATCTGAACCTTGGAATCCTGGGCTGCCAAAGCAGAGCATGTGAACTTAACCTCTACGCCACTAGGCAGGCCCCCTTTCTCCTTTTTTTTTTTTAACTGTTAAAAGAAAAGGGTAGATAATATAAGCATATAGTTTGTCTTTTACTGCTGTCCTTGGAGCCACTTTTTAAAAATAAGGTTGAAGTATAGCTTAATTGTTACCTTGGATATTCTCTTTGACCTGGTTCTTGAGCTAAATTTTTCATATGTTATCTGCTAGGAACTGTAAATAAACCATTTAATATCCTTGTGAAATGGTAATCCTAACTAGCTTATGTCTTAACACTAATGAATTTAAGTGAAATTTAATCAGTACATGGTAGATGGCACATGGATGGTATAGACAGTGGTGCTCCAAGTGTTAATGATGAATTGGTTATAAAAAGTTTCCCAAAGGACATGGGATATGAGGCAGACCTTAAATAAGACAGAAGGGTTAAGAGGCCATTCTAGGTATAAGGGCTAAGAATGGATGCTCCTTGTGTTTATGTAGTAGCTTTTTAATATGTGAGTTTAAATAGGGAGTTGACATTGCAGGGACTCAGATGACAAGCTAAATAGTTTGTAATTGGGAAGTAGAAAATAGTTGTGAGCAGTGTGTGGTGATAAAGAAATAGGATTTTAAAAAATTTAATTGTTCAGTTGGTTTGATTTCTTAAATGAGAGGTGCTGCATAAGGTAGTATTGAATATTATTCATCTTTCATAATTATAGATTCGGCCTTGCTAATATCCCGTGGATAGATTAGAAAATTGATACTTTAAATGTGAGTTTTTGCCATGTTTGTGGGAGGTGAAGTGATTGTTCTGATCTACAGGCAGGTGTTAAAATCATTTCCCAGCTGAATATGAATTTTGGCTTTCTGCAGGTTTCTAACCTGGCAAGTACTATGTGTTTTTCTGATATGTACATGCAAGTATACATGGATGATGAGGGCTGTGTGTGATTACTCCAACTAATGTTACGTGGGTCTAAGTGCAGTGGAGAAAGTTAATGACAAACATTATAAAATAACCTCCATCTGTTAGAAAACAGAGTGAACACAAATGAAAAATATGAAGAGGAATAGACAAGGTAGTACAGTTTTCCACATCTTTTAAATGAGACTGTTAGACTAGTGATAATTTATGAAAATTTGGGAGTTAGTTGAAGTCTCAAAATTGTCCAGATAAGCTAAGATACATTCTTTTCCTGTCCTCAAAAAAATTTATAATATAGGGAAGAAAGTAGAGTCTGACAGTTTCTCATATATAGACACACACACACCAGTTAATGGGGTGCTTTCTAAATAAAAAATCTTAAATTTTATTTCCATTTTCTTACTAATATTCTTTGAGGGACTTTGGGTAAACAACAAAGATAGATGGAGGCTATTAGGTTGGAAATAAGAGAAAGAATAAGAAGAAATACAAATTCATAATGTTGTTCATGTAGGAAATACAGTAATTGCTGACCTCTTCTCATCACTCTGATTTTTTTCCTTAACAGAATATACGTTATGAATGTAGGTGTATTGTTTGCTGAATTCAGAGAAATGTGTCTTGTTGATGATTAGCTTTGTGGAAGCCTAAAGTCATTGGACAGTTTTAATAATGCAGTGAAAACAGAAAAGATGAAAATAAATATTTCATGTTAACTACTATAATGAAGTAAACAGATGATATTCTTGGGTCATGTGCCTATTTGTGGAGTTAGCGCACAAGTTTGTGCCTGTCGCTGTGCCAGAGAATTAAAGGTATCCATGAGAAGCTTACAGTCTAGACATTTTTCCTTTATTACATACATGCAATAAGCAGTTATAAGTAATAGCTAAGCAGTTCTAATTCTCTTCTTCCTTAAAATTTTAAGGAGAATACTTAATGAAAGTGAAACGTAAGTATATATTTAGTATGTGATTCATGATAACAGAATTTTTTTTGTTAAGCATACACACCTGGGTTTTTAAAAATAGGATCAAAATTATCTCATTGTAAACTTTTGTCTTTGGCTTAGTCCTTAATTGGGACCTGGAGAATTCCACTGGCGATGAGTTTAAGATGTTTTGTTTCTCAGCTTGGTTTTTACTTTGGGGTGTGCAGAGGATCTGCCTTGAGCACTCTGTTCTTGTACACTCAGTCCACAGCGAGAACCAGACCAAAGGTTGAGCTATCCAAAGCTTGAGTCTAGGACTGCTTAGTACCATTAGGATTTTGGAAAGTCCTTCATAGAAGTAGTCTCTGTCGGTCAGTAACTTCTCTTGGATTCTGTGATTGCTGTCAGTGCTTGGTAAATGGTGGGGATGGAAGAGTGGGGACAGTGAGTAGCCTCATTTCTGATAGGTTCTGTCCAAATTAAAAGGAAGAGCTTTTAATTAGCCTCAGTTTATTTAACTTGGCTTAACCCCACTGTATCTTTCTGTTAGCCAGTGATGAAAAAGCCAACAAATGGCCTTCTTTTGGGTCATATGTCCGGTAGGAGAAGAAAGCATTTTATATTAAAGGCTTGTGTTCCCTTAGCTGCCATGATATGCAGCCTCCTGAACTTATGTTACCAGATGAATAACTAGTCCAGATGGCTAAACTGATGGAGGGTATAAAACCAAAACCCATTTCAGGAAGATATCCACTTTGCTCGTTTTTGGATGGGATCCATTCTAATTAGTGGTAACTTTTTCAGTTTGTTTTAAAATTTAATTTTTAACTGTATGTTTTCTTGATTTTTACCTAGGTTACAAAATATCCTCCTATGCTTGAGACCTACAGACTACATGTCCTACAAGAACTAATCAATGGTTTTTCATCTTCTGGAGATACATTAGAAACATAAATATGGTGCCAAACGAACTCCTTACCCTTCTCTGACTACGGTTTATTTGAACATACTTTTGTATTGAAGAGAGGTATACAGACTGAGGCTACTCGTGCAGAGACTGTCGTGTAGGATCATGGACCATCCTAATAGGGAGAAGGATGAAAGACAACGAACAACTAAACCCATGGCACAAAGGAGTGCACATTGTTCCCGACCATCTGGCTCCTCAACAGCCTCTGGGGTTCTTATGGTGGGACCCAACTTCAGGGTTGGCAAGAAGATAGGGTGTGGGAACTTCGGAGAGCTCAGATTAGGTAAGAACTTGGTTGCATCAGTGGCTTCCACTAACAACAACAACAGCTACAATAAGCTTTGGTGTATTTCAAGACAGTAGTTTATCGTTTTATGAGATTCTCTTAAGGGGGCCTGTTAGAAGAACTAAAGAATTTGTGAAGGGGACTATAGTCATTGTCGGTTTTAATTGTTATCCAAGGTTCATCTCTTTATGTGTGATAGGCATTTAAATTTTCCACCAATTCTGAGATTTTATGATGAAGGGAGATCTGCATCCAGATAATCAATAAATTGAAGATCTGATTTGGTTGGTCTAAGAGGGAGAACCCTAAATTCTCTCTTTTTAACAAACTCCCGGGTGATCTAGATGCTGTTACAGGTCCTTGAATCACACTTTGAGAAGAGAGTAAGGCCTTTTTTAGTTCAGACTCTACCCCTGTTAAGGGAAGAGTAAATCCTTACTCAGTAATACCCATACCTAGTCTGCAAGGATGTATATCCTGTTTGGAGAGGATTTCCAACTGATACTAATGTTTGCGTTTCTTTCTGGAAGTCCCAAAATCAAGATTGAGCTAGAACTACAGGGAGAAATTATGCAATTTTATTTCTCAACCAAGGGAATGGATTTTTTATTTCAAATATGAATTTGAGTGAGGTAATGAATAATGACAACATCAACCAGATTGAAGATGTGAAATTGGGAGGAAGATACATTGGGTATTTTTAAACTTTTTTATGGCCCTCCCTAGGAGAATGGGGAAGAGAAAATGAAAGATTTTAATAAATGTATGAAGTTGAACATCAGCTTGGACAATGTGAAGAGGTCCCGTTTTAGGCTAAAGTGTTTTCTTTTCCTTAATACCCGTTGAGGCTATGGATTATTATGAAGATCCATTGTAAGAGACTGGCCATTGGGAGATTAGGAGTGTGGGAGTATAAGATGATTATTCTTTGTTACCTCTGCTGCTTCTGATGATTCTGCAAAAGAAGATGGAAAAAATCCTCTCTCTAATCCCCCATAGAGAGATTCAGGGAAACATCACTACACTACCCAGAGATCACTGGGTGCAGAATTGAATTTAGGGATGCTGAGAATGTATTTTTACCAGTAGAAGGCTGGCAGCCTGGAATTTTAAGAACTGACTGGGATAATGAAAGGCTCTTTATGTTTAGTGATATGTTCATGTTCAGGTTATCAAAGCCAGCAAATGCTACTGAGAATAGGAGTAAGATGTGTAATTTCACACTGCTTGAGTTCCTGGCAACTGCTGAGTTGCTTTAGCAACTAGTTTCGTGAACATTCAGTTATGTAATGGATTGACTCTACTGTAACATCAGTACCTGACTTAAATAGATTGTGACATAAACATCAACAAAATTACTGCTGAGAGGCAGTCTATAATGCATATAAACTCAGGCATTCCCAAAACATCATAAAATTATTTAATTTCTATAAAAGTAAAGAAAAATATTGGTCAGTGAAAACTGGAAATCTATTTTATTTAATTACTTAAGTCTAGATTATATGATCTTTAAGTTTGCATGAGAATGGAAAAATCCATTCAGTTAAAAGGATAAATTTGTAGCCCACGTATATTTTCAGAGTAGTAGAGTGTTGTACTTTATTTCCTCCATGAATCTAGGATAATTTTGATACTTCTCCTTTTGACTTGTTTTGTAGTCAGTAGAAAGAACTTGTCTTTCTTTTCAAGTGGTTTTGTTCTTGTGTGTTTATCAGGTTTTCATTAGCCCTGGGGCCATATTTTTATGGCATCCTATCCAGGAATAGTTTTATGGACGAAAACCAGAAAAGGTACTTTCAGAATCATTTGACATCTTCCTAACAATAGAATGTGCTGTAAACCCCATTCCTTTGTTCTTTTGCTCTGATATTATTAAGTAGAAGATTGTGCAGACAACAGAAAATATAAATTAGGAAATTCCAAACTCAAGGCAGGTGCAGATTGGCCTCCACCAAGGCTACAAGGCCATAGTTTCTTCTCCAAACTCGTTTCTTTCTCTAGCCACACCATCTCTTGTGTCTCTCATACAGCCAAGTGCATTTCTGCTTCAGAGCTTTTACACTTATAGTTCCTTTTGCCTGCAGAATTTTTACCCCAAATTTTCCTTAGCTGGAGCTTCTCATCCTTCAGGTCTCAGTTTATATGTTACTATCTCAGGGAAACCTGTGACTTCTCCTCCACCTCCATTTAAAATAGCACATTTTGGGCCAACCCGGTGGCACAGCAGTTAAATTTGCACGTTCTGCTTTGGCGGCCCAGGGTTCATCAGTTTGGATCCTGGGTGCAGACATGGCACCGCTTGTCAAGCCATGCTGTGGCAGGCGTCCCACATATGAAGCAGAGGAAGACGGGCACGAAAGTTAACTCAGGGCCAGTCTTCCTCAGCAAAAAGAGGAGGATTGGCGGCAGAAGTTAGCTCAGGGGTAGTCTTCCTCAAAAAAAAAACAACACGTTTCTTCCCAGCCACATTCTATCCCATGAAACTGCTGTATTTTGTTCATTGTGTTGATTTCTATGTGAAATTATTTTGTATATTTGTTTACCTGTTAATCGTCTCTCCTTACTTGAATATAAGCCCCTTGGAAGGCAGGGTTTCTCTCTGTATTATTTACTGTTGTTACTTGTGGGATGGATGGATGGATGGATAGCCAAATGAATAGGAAGGGTGGGGGGAAACTGGGCTCCTTCGGGCTCCTGGTATGTGGCAGGGGTGGTAGGTAGTGGCCTTAGTGTGTAGATAGACCCCTGGATTCCAGACAGAGAACCAAAGAAATAACGTAATGATTAGTACATTTTGGTTCTCTGAAGATCTGTTTGTACCCCATCATGCATTTAACAAACATTTCTTGAATATTTACTCTCTTGCTAGACTTTGGGAAAGATACAAAGAATAATAAGATGTAGTTTCTGTCCTTTGTATTATTTGATTAAGAGTAGGACAGAACTTCCACTGGTGGGCCCGAGAAAAAAGGGCTCTCCAGCAGCAGGGTGCACAATCACTGGATCTTGTGAAAGTGCCTAGCATATTATCAGAGCAGCAACTAGTTTTATATGACTGAGTTATGGAAGTGTTTTCATGGTATCAAAGCATTTTGACTTTATCTTGTAGGCAATGGAGTAGAATCATCAAGGGTTTTGCAACAGAAGAGTGACATGATCTGGTTTGTATTCTAGAAAGTTAATTTAGGTAGTTGTAAGATTAGATCAGACGGGAAAGAGATTGACATTTTGTGGATTTTGCTCTAATTGTTGTACTTGTCACTTTGTATCATCTTATTCCATCTCTCTGCCTCAAGATATGCTTGATCATAGTACTTTGCTTTATTAACCTTCATATTCTCAACTTCTTTTACTGTGTATGGCATATAATGAGTACTTAAGAAATGTTTGGCTTTATAGTCCAGGTCAGAAATGGCTGGGCCTTCCTTGGCTCTTAATTCTGAAAATGACAATGAGATGGAGAGGAAAGAATGAATTAGGGAGAAATTTAGAAAGTAGACTATAGGCAAGATTTGGTTACCAATTATTTGAGGGGAGGATCAAAGATAATGAGTTTTACAGCTCAGGAAGACCAAGTGAATGAGGAAGGCTTTAATGGAGACAGGAAAGGTAGGACTAGAGTAGGCAATGGGGAAGGCAGGCAGATAGAGTTTGTGAATATATTGACTTTGAGAAGTGTGCAGCACATATGCAGAAATGTGAATCTGAGATTTAAGTTTAGGCTTAAGATAGGGATTAAGAAATCATCACCATATAGGTGATGACATCATGCCTGTGGAGCTTGTTATGAGTGGGAAGAAGAGGGTGCATTTAAGGGATGCTCAAAGAGCAGAGCAGAGGTTGAAAGCCAAAAGAGAGGAGTTTCTAGAGGAATGGGGTGTTAAGCAAGCATTGCACCCTAAAGTTAAGCAGGAGAGAGCTAATTAATTATTGCCTTTGATCTTTCACTGTTGTTTATGTATTTTTGAGAAGTTTCCTTTTTTCCCCTTTTTCATTTTTAAATGAGTACATGTATTTTGTAATCAGAAAAGAAAAGCAAAAAATATCCTTTAAAGGAAAATTCTAAAAAGGAAAATAACATGCTTATTCCCAAAAATTTATTTAAAATTCTACTTTAGAAGTGTCTCCAAAAATAACCATTAATTTTAATTAACTTAATTTTCCAGAATTTTAAAATATGTATCAGGACATATTTTAGAAATGCAATCAAATTGTGCTATAAACCATATACAGCATGAACTTTTCGTTATTTCAACTTAAATATAGATGATTCGTTTTTAATATCTGTAGTTATTCAGTAATTCATTTAGCCGTTCTTAATATACATATAAACTCTTTCTGTTTTTTAATATTATAAATAATACTATACTGAACATCCTTGTAGCCCAAACTTAGCTGATTATTTCCTTAGGATAAATCCTGGAAGTGTACTTTCTGAGTCAAAGGCTATACATGTAGTCCTGCATCACTTAACAACAGGGATATGTCCTGTGAAATGAATTGTTAGGCAGTTTCATCTTTATGTGATCATAGAGGGTACTTACACAAGTATAGATAGTGTAGCCTACTACACACCTAACCTATATGATACTAATCTTATAGGATCACTGTCATATATGTGGTCTGTTGTTGACTGAAATGTCATTCTGCTGTGCATGGCTGTATTTGTGATTTTGTTACACATTGTCGATTTGTCCTCCAGAAATATAGTTTCCATTTACTTTGTGTGGGGGTGAGGGGAGGAGTAGTTCCCTGCCCCTTCAAAAACCTTGAACATTATCAAGAATGTTTTCATCTATGCTAGTCTGATAGGGTAAGATGGTGTCTTGTTAAATGTGTATGTGTTCATGATTGAAGTTAAACATCTTTACACATTTACCTTTTTTCTTTTAAGAGTTGCTTCTTTGTGGCCTTTGCCTATTTTGCAATGGAAAGGCTATTTCTATGGAGTCTTACCTGTGTATATTGCCTCAATAGAAAGGGGAATTTTGAAGATT